CGAGCAGATCGACTAGGGAAACATTTGTTGCCTGGAAACCAGCCAGGTCCGGGCCAAGGAACGGGCAAAAACTTTGTGAGGCGGATTGGGTTTCACAACATTTCGTAGAACTACAGATTGCCGCCCCCATCCTTGACTTACTGCTGCCTCCCCATCAGCTGAGCCCATCAGCGCTCTCTGCACGTGCCTCGAAAGCGCAAGGCATGCCATAGTTTACATCGTTGCCTACAGATGGCACTGCGTTCGCAGAGCGATAACCGCGTTTGTTTACATCACTGAACTTTCAACTGTGTATAATAACATGTATAATACTGTTATTGACTGTTAATAATGTCATTATATACAGATCAGTGAGTTGTTTAATGACTTGTATCGCGAGTTTTAGTAATAAATACTAATGTACACAACTTCTTCCATGCGATTGCCGAGGAACAGATCTTATTCGGTTATAACTCTTGTACTTTGTAGGCCCTACTAATCACAGGCACTTGAAGCGTTTCAACTGTAAACACACGCCGCCGCCATTGCGCGCACACTGACACATAAATATATTGATATTTATGTGTCAGTGTGCGCGCAATGGCGGCGGCGTGTGTTTACAGTTGAAACGCTTCAAGTGCCTGTGCTACTAATAGCCCGCGGAGGTGCAAATCCACTTTAGGCACCTTAGGTATCACGAAGTGATGCACAGATTTCTGTGTATCATCAACTGATGCACAGACTCCGTATATCAAGGAATCATGCAAAAATCCTAACCCTAGCCCTAACCCTAACCCCAACCCTAACACACTTCGTGATACCTAAGCCTAAGGTTGTACTAGAGCTAACTCGGTGATTGCATCATAACCCGACCAGGCTGTGTGACTAACGTCGTACATTCGTCAATAAATTCGTCAATATAAGTCGCCTCGGTATTCTATTTCTAACCCTAGCAATACCGTTTCTTGGAGCTAAATGCATCAGTGCATGATGACATTGATGTGACTCATTGTGACTGTGTCGTGACGCTGTCACTGATTTGGGTAGTAATACTACTATACTAATACTAGAAATAGTGCGTAAAATAGTGCGTACCATATCAAATAGTTACCAGGGTACGTTCCGGCAGTACCCTGGGGGACATAGACCCTATGAGCAATACTATGGCTGAGAGGGTCTATGTCCCCCGGGGTACTGCCGGAGCGTACCCTGGGTACGGTCCGGTATACCGGAACGTACCCTGGTACTATCTAATATGCCGGACCGTACCTCGCCTACTCCACTAACGAGTCTAGGGAGTCGCCTACGCCTACTCCCTAACCCTAACCCTAATCCTAACCCTAATCCTAACCCTAACCATATCAAATAGTGACCAGGGTACGTTCCGGTATACCGGACTGTACCCAGGGTACGTTCCGGCAGTACCCTGGGGGACATAGACCCTATGAGCAATACTATGAGTATCATCTGTATGACAGTCTATGAGAGCATGCAAAGAGAACGACGAGAGATGCAAATTGCAATAATGTATCCCAATAGAGTAGGGGTTCTAACCAGTGCTCGAAATAAGCGTTGTCCGGTTGTCCGAGACAACAAGAATTTGCGCCGGACAACCTAACCAGTCTGAGACATTGTCCGGTGGACAACCAAGAAACACTATACCTAACCCTAACACCGACTCTAAACCGACTCGGCTATCTTATATATACGCGTGGTACCCAATTAATCTATGGTGTATAACCTTTTGCTTTCAATATTTTGCATCTGAACTGACAATCAATCCCAACCAACTGGTGTAGGCTAGCTGGCACAATAATGTTCAGTTTCATACTTCAAATCCGAGTGTTTTCTAGCTCATCAAGAAATTTTAATCGTGAATTAAATCGTGAATAATATAAAAATATGGGACCAGCTGCTATTTCCAACACTGGTATATGTCAGGTTTTCTGATTTATGAGAGGTGAACTCGATTTGGAACCAGCAAACCAGCAAGTTTCTAAAATTTTCTGGGGAAGGACCCCCATACCCACCCCCCTATGCCTGTTTTTCACTCCTCCCTCCTTGGAATCCTAAACCCGCCACTGAACAATTACATATCTTGGGAGCAGAGAACAATGAACAAAAATGTCGCCTTTTCGCATGGATTGCAGAGCTGAGAGGTAGAGGAGCCGTAGGGTGTGGAGAGGGAGGCGGAGGAGCCAGTAAAATATTAAGTCATCCACTATTTTGCGCAGTTCGCTGTTTTTGGTCCCCCTTGTTAAAAAATCCTGGCTACGCCACTGTTTTTGGGTGTTTTCTGATCATATTATAATGTAATTGAAAATAGGAGATTTGGGGATATTTTTTGGGACAACCAGAAATTGTTGCGGACAACCCGATTTGATGCGGGGGTTGTCCGCAGGACAACCACATTTTTTTTCTTATTTCGAGCACTGCTAACCCCTCCCTCCCATTATGTTGGGTTTGCGTTATTGTATCTAGGACTATCCTAGTTTACCATAATGAGATATAGACAGCAGGCATATTGCAGCAATTGAAAATCGTGCTTGCTGATATTATTCTGCCGACGACAAATTGCAAAATATCATTCATGGGTATATGTAAACATGCAAAAAATGTCTCATTACAGTCTAAGCAGATTTGCTGTCCTTGTACGAACCTTGGACCTGTGATTGCATTTATTTGAGAGATGTTATCTTCTTTAAATGGTGATACCTCGTTTCCCTCCCTGTACATAGGCGGGTGCCGGCATTTTAACGGCACCTGGTGCTGTTGGCAATGAATTATTGGTTACCAATAGCTTAATGTTGCATACAAAGGTCGCGTTGCTCATGCAAAGGTACCTTTGTCCAACTATATAAGTGGGATCACCTTTGGGGATCTCCTTTCCTGTTCACTGCCGGTCGATTGGTCAGCATGTGGCCCAGTGGGCTAGCGTTGGTAGCGCTTTTGGGCATCGCATCTGTTGGTACAGCTGCTGGTGAGCTTCTTGTCCTGTTTGTGCTATGAGTAGAATTCAAAAATTCGTGCTCTGTTCTGTTTTGACGAGTAGTAAAATTTTAGTGATTGAATGTTTTCACTTTCGTATATGCTCATAGTCATAGATAATATAAATTTAGCTCTAGCAGTGTGGTTTTCATCACGATTTCCAGTACTGAGAAGTGACTGAAGATTATTATTATAGTGTGACAGCTAATATAAACTAATAAAATGCGTAATTATACGTTAATGACTCGACCATTACCCCTCAGAGTAATCTATAGGGACTATACTAATGAAATCTACTAAATGAATTAATGATCTGTACTAAATGAATATATTATGGCAACAATTTGCAAGTTCGATAGTAATGGCTGGCTGGTTTTGAGTGCTAGTGTCAGAGAGGATGTTCACTGTTTGCTTTAGTGTCCTCTCGTGTGTCTGTGGTAAGGTGCACATTTTTCTCTCTCGCTTGTCTGAGTGCCTGTGCCATAGTTCAAGCTACTCTGATCGGTGCTGCATTATTTTGTCCTGGTTTTCGTACTTACTGCAGGGTGCGAAATTAACGGGAGTCCGAAGTCAAATACTCCCTGATTTACTGCCGGACTCACTGATTTGACATATGCAAGAGCCCGTGTGAATCCCTGAAAATTCTGCCATACTAACTAGTTCATTCCAGTGCACGGCCTCGCGGAATTACCGTATTTTTTTCAGCAAATGTCCAAAGAAAATTTGGCAGACGTGCAATCGCATGAATCTTCAAAATAAGCACATGCGTTATTGTTAATATCTTTAGTTTTGAACTTCAGACTGCGCACTCCTTCATTTTGCTGCGGACTCCCTCTTTGTGACGGCAGGGAAGTTCGTTGGACTCCCTTGCTCAAAAGTTAATTTCTACCCCTGTTACTGTTTGTCATAGAGAAAGATATTTGGGGGGGGGGAGGAGAGAGCGTGATAAAAGGAAGAAACCGAGAGTCGAGAGAAAGAGACCTTAGATAGAGGGAGAAGGAGAGAGGGAGAGAGAGAGAGACTCTGATGTAGGAAGAGCGAGAGCTCTAGACTGATGTATGAAGAGAGAGAGCTCTAGACTGATGTAGGAAGAGAGAGAGCTCTAGACTGATGTAGGAAGAGAGAGAGAGAGACTGATGTAGGAAGAGAGAGAGAGAGAGAGAGAGACTCTGATGTAGGAAGAGAGAGAGAGAGAGACTCTGATGTAGGAAGAGAGAGAGAGACTCTGATGTAGGAAGAGAGAGAGAGACTCTGATGTAGGAAGAGAGAGAGAGACTCTGATGTAGGAAGAGAGAGAGAGAGAGAGACTCTGATGTAGGAAGAGAGAGAGAGAGAGAGAGACTCTGATGTAGGAAGAGAGAGAGAGAGAGAGATACTCTGATGTAGGAAGTGAGTGAGTGAGTGAGTGAGTGAGTGAGTCAGTGAGAGTGAGTGAGTGAGTGAGTGAGTGAGTGAGTGAGTGAGTGAGTGAGTGAGTGAGTGAGTTGAGGGAAGTGAGGGACTGTCGATGTGAGTGAGTGAGTGAGAGTGAGAGTGAGAGTGAGAGTGAGAGTGAGAGTGACGAGTAGAGTCAGTGAGAGTAGAGAGTGAGAGTGAGAGGGAGAGTGGAGAGTTGAGACTGAAGTGTGATGTGAGTTGTGTAGGTCGTGGAGTGTGAGTGTGAGTGTGAGTGTGAGTGTGAGTGTCGAGGAGAGTGTGATGGGAGTTGTGAGTGTGAGTGTGCTGAGTGTGAGGACATGTGAGTGCTGAGTGCTGCTGTGTGTGTGTGTGTGGATCTGTGTGTGTGCGGATGTGTAGTGGACGGAGTGACTGCTGATGAGAGAGAGAGAGAGAGAGAGAGAGAGAGAGAGAGAGAGAGAGAGAGAGAGAGAGAGAGGAGAGAGAGAGAGCATGCGTGCGTGCGTGTAAGTGCGCGTGAAGAGAGGGAGGTGTAGAAGAAGCGTGAGCAGGGCTGTCTGCGTTTGTGATTTATGACTTTAGCTGCGTGTTTATAATTTACTCTGTTTTTGAGGCAATCTTTATCATTTTTTCAGGCCCAGTGAGGCAGGACAACATCCAGGGAGGTGAAATCTGCGCCACTTCATGTGCAGTTTTACGTAAGTTGCAACTTTAACAGTAAATTTTGAGATCGGGATGAATATCTTTGTTCATGGCATATTCCATATCCTGCTGTCATGTCTGTCAACAACATGCATGTCAACAACAACAACAGCTAAATCAACAACGTCTGTATCACGAAATGTCGGCCTAGGTCGTCTAATACCCTTTTGGAAGTTTTCCAAATATGCCCCTGCCGCGCACGTATTTTTAGCATTCTTGCCTGGCATGCTCTCAAGGTATATATGCCACTCATTGAAGAGTGTCCTTGGGGATCACAGGACTGGACTTTTAAGCTGCGCATTTGGTGCACGTGGTTTCCCAACCTGCGTCAGCTATCAGCGATGTCCTGATTTGCCTTACTTGCATTTACCTGAGCTTTGCAGGGGATAATTTAGCGACGGGCCTAGATTTTTTTTCTACTGAGTTCGTATTCTGGTTCTAGCGGGTCTGATGCTATGTATGTATATATATGTTTACATGATATATGTTTTTGTTAACTGCACCCATGTGTGACAAACAAGGTACTGGCTAGCTAGGAAGATAGTATGGCTGGCCTAGTGATGATATTATATTGTCTATTTGTGATATTATGTGTTTGATTACGGGATGTTTGTGTGGGAAAAAATTGGGCATATATACACAGCTTTAGTACACCTGTCCAGCTCCCACAAAACAGTAAGCTCCTGCGTTCCAATGTCTCAAACTCCTATTTCTGTATCTGTCCCACCCTCTCCCTTCCTACGTACTCCCTCTCTCGCTCTCCGATACTCGTGGACTCTTGCACGCACACTCACACGCCCTATCCTTCCACCGCCCCTCTCTATCAATCATGCCTTGATTTCTCTATGCACCTCTCATACTTTAACATCCGGTTTTATCTTCCTCTTATACTTTTTTTATTCTATTCAGCCATTTCTTGCCTCGCATAGGTTTAATGCTTCCGGACTTCCGGACCTAAAATTAAATTTTTTTTATCTTGCATTATCTGGTATTTAAACATATTTATCTTATTATCTGCTCTACACAATAGTTCAATTTCTTCTGGTGGATAAATTAAGTTCGCTCACTGCGAACACTATAACTATAACTGATTGATAGGTATACGCTTGTAATCCATTCCCCAAAGCAGAGTGATTCAGTTTATGATTGATGCTATGAACATGCACGCAGGGATTATGCTTAATCGGTAAGCATGCACTAATCCTTTCTGAGGCAGCATTTCACGAGAAGAGGGTTGAAAGGTTTGCGCTCAGGCCCTCGGCAAGTGACAGGCGGTCATTGTGTGTTGTAAGATTAAGTTGATAATTGGATGTCCAGGCAAACACTTGCTAGAATCGCTGAGTCACAGCTAGTGCTCGGAGGGAGCACTTGACAACAATAATTATATATAGAAATTATAATGAGCAGCAGCGGCTCATGCAGAGAGACTGCCCATTGGCCACCTCTGGCCTGAATATTTCGCAGCTGAGGTTTCCTCGGCCGAGTGAGAGGCCCAGCTGGAAGTGACCAGGCTTGGTTTCACGTGGCGGGTCAGTCATGTCAGATCCTCCCCTGCTCGCCTTACGTGAATATAATATAACTAGCAGTGGCCAGGCACGAGAGTAGCGAGTATAGAAAGGCAAATAGAACTATTAATATCTTGCGCATTCTCGCGTAAGGAATACTAGGAGCGTTTTTATCTGCATGTCCAGCGCATAAGAACCGAGCATTTCTTTGTTTGACGTAGCAAAGAGCATTTAAGCTGTACGGTGATATGATATGCTAGCCTGGTATCAGCAGTTCTAACATGATAAACCATACAACCTTGCGCTATCGATATGTAAATCACGCAGGGCAATGCCCCGTGCGCCTTGAGGCTGAAGGAGGGGCTCAAGGAAAGGCAAGCATTTACATTAATTGCCGTTAAAGCGCGTGCAAGCATACGTCTAATATATAGCTTTCTTTATTATTAGCTACTTCGTCTAGTTTACGCTCCGCGTTTGGAGTGTTTAGAATAGGCCCCCTCAGCCCCTCCCCCGGCCTCAGCTGGCAGTCGGGCGGACCTGACGTGTTGTCGGCGTGGTTAAGGAGGTTAGAGATGTAAATTGAACAGGTGGTGGGTCAATGCTTGACGCCTACGAAGCCGATGTTTTCCCGCCATGGCACGTGCTCGCTGTTTTTCGTCTGCTTCCAGCACACGTGACCGCACGTGGTGTGTTCGCGCGCGGTCGTGTAAGATCGTGATCGTTGATGGATGGATGACATTCTTAAGGTAGCCGACAGTTGATCAAAACAACAAAAACTGGCCATGCACTGAACCTGCTATGACCAGCGAAAATGTAGGACCTAGACGTTCACGTGCAAGTGCGTTTTTTCAATTCTAAATGCTGATAGCGCCATTTCCTGCCACAAGCTCTTGTGTTTATTGATTGCAAAGGCAAGGGCCAGTGCTAAGTTATCACCCCGTTCGCTTCCTGTCAGAGCAGGACGTGGCATCTCTAGAAAAGCTGCCAGTGGGGGGGTGTCTTTGTGTGCACGTGTGTGCCTTGTTTTGTGATTGTGAGCCCATCGGCTTGCTTGCGTGACCACATGCTGATGCGGTCATTCCTAAAGATCCACGAGGCCATACGCGGTTCTTTCCTACTATCGAGGCAGAGAGGGTGAGGGGAAGAGGAGAAGGTCGGATCGACCTGCATTTGTGATCATGTTTCTCTGACCTGGATCTAGCCATCGCACGCATGTGTAGAAGAGTGATGTGGTGGCCAGAGGGCCGTGGCTTGGTCAGGCATGCAGTCACCCCTGGCCATGTAGCTTAGTAGTAGTGGTTGACCGCTTGCTGCCCCCGATTGCTCACTCTGTGCCTGATTGTGTCCCCTGTGCTGTTGCTATGCAGTTATTAGCATCTGTTCGACTCAAAACGCAGCTAGTAGCTTCACTATCAACAAAAACACACAGACACGTATATATATATATATATATATGTGTGTGTGTATATATATATATATATGTGTGTGTGTGTGTATATATATA